GCCTTCGGAGCCAATGCTGACCCAGAAGGAAGTGGACAACTTCGGTTCCAGTGGAATTCTCGCAGAACTGACCGTGGCAGTTGAACCTTCGTGTTCCGGAGCTCATACTCCTGGAAGTGATGTGGTGGATTCTGCCAAGTGCGGCGAACAACGGAAGTCAGAAGGTGCCTGTGCATTTGTCGACCAACAGAGCACGTTGAATGTGGTGATAGACTCTGCTTGGTTGGAAGCACTTGTTTCCGGTGAAGTTGATGCACAGGAATTTTCTCGCACAGAAGAACTTCAGCAGACAACAGTAAAGCGCTGCGTTTCGCCTATCGATATCGAGTGTCTTCGTGAAGGTGTAGAGCAAATGATGAATTATAATCTTAAAAATTCAGACATTCCCTCTTTGCCTCCACTTGGAAAAGAAAGGCCTTCGCCTACGGATTCATTGCCTTGCACAATCGGCTACACTCTCAAAGTCGTTGAGCAAAAGGAGGTGGGTTTTTTCGTAGAAGGGTTTGTTTAGAAATTTTTGGCGATTCGTCTTCAATTAGTTGTATACATAGTACAAGTATTAGGTTGAGTCATAAGTCCTCGGACAAAATTATAGTGATGATTTCTAGAGATCATAATTCGAGAAAGAGGAGGCGAAAATAGACGCGCATGGCAATGTTAGATGGAGTATGAAAAGCTCTTCAAAATACATGCTAGAGAACACAACTAACAATTTCTATTCCTGCAACCATTCCCCATTATTTCAAGCCGTCGCAACTCCACCTCCGCAACACCATCCTATTTCTTTTTTTATCTGGTCGTGAACCCGCGGAGATCGATAGACGTATTAAGTAAGTTTGCAAGAAGGGTGCTCCTGCTAGATGCACAGTTCACAAGTGGCACACGAAGCTCACGTCGGACCACCATTCCATCGAAAATGAAGACCGTCCGGGACGCTCAATGGGGTTGGATTTGGAGGTGCTGCGGAGGCAGGTGGAAGCCGATCCGTATCAAACCATTCATGAACTGGCATTCACCCTTGGGGAGTCAGTCCACAGTTATTCGTGGATTGAAGTCAAACGGCAAGGTGCGAAAGCTCGGTCGATGGGTGCCTCATACTTTGAAGCAGTATGACATGGATTTTCGCGCCGACATGGCACTTTCTCTCCTCACTCTCAAGCGCAGGAGATGGTCAGGTTTACCCATTAGTAGATATTTGGAAGAGCTTTTAATACCCTATCTAACGATGCCTCGTGCGTCCATTTTCGTCACCTTTTCCCCGAGTTACGATCTCTTGAAGTCATCACTATACATTGCCCGAGAACTTATGACTCAACCTAATAGTTTAGTACGTAAGTATGTACATAGTTGTGTACATAGGTACATTACGTTTAGATATCTAAATAAATCCATATAATATGTTGATCTTTGCTCTTTACACTGGAAAATGAATCTTTGCTGTAAGGGGTCTGCTAAGGAATATACTGTGAATACAGCGAGCGTGCGAAGATCTGCTACTCTTTTGTCTATGTTTTCTCCGTGCTTGAGCCATTTCTGCATTGAAGAATCAGGCATATAGCTCTTAGCACCAACCCATTTTCATTGATAGCTAGCTCACGCTCAGCATTCATTCGATTTACATATAGATTTTGAAAATATTTGAGGGACAAAGCTTCAATGTGCATAGAACACGTTCTATTAGGTCATCTCATTCAAAAGTTCGCAAGCTTTTATTCGAATAAAATGAACAGCAAACAAGATAAAAAGCTAATATTCTAGTGTTCTGTCGGGTAGGTTCCATCATTGTTGACGACCCTCTCCCAGCGTCCAGATAGCACCTGGACACCAAGTAGCTTCTTTCCTTCAACATGTGCAGATAAAATGCTGTTGACGTCCATTTCGGCCATCGACCAGTTGTCAAAGCGTTTGCCATTGCGACGTACCTTCATTTGACTGAACCGGTTGAAGTCGCACGGCTGGAGCTCGGGAGAATAGGGCGGTTGAATCTAGGTTTCAATATTCTGTTCTTCAAAAAACTGCTGCACAATTCGAGATGGGTGGGGCTTGGCATTGTCATGAGCGATAATTGCTCCCTTGATGTTGTGTGCTGCCATCCAATTGTCGGTATTATCGTCGAGAAACTGGCAATACACTTCAGAAGTGACGGTCGTTTTTTCAGGACAAAGTCGCCAGAACGCCACGCCTCAGAAATCCATTGCCGTGATGAGCATCCACTTGGAACCACGTGACTCTTTATGAACCAATTCGGGCGGTTTCTCATCGGCGTCCATCCAAACCCGACGCTTATGACTTTCGGGCTCAGTGTAAAACCCACCCATGTTTCATCTATAGCCAACTTTGGTTTCGTGAGTCGTGGGTGACGTCGGTGGCGGAGAAGATTGTTTCTACAGGCATCAATTCGGTTTTGGACCTGTGCTTCTGTAAGTAAATGAGGTACCCATACACACATCTACTTGACCATCTTCAATTCTTTGGACACAACTCGGCCAACGGTAGTAGCAGGAATGCCGGTCTCGCGGGCAAGTTCGGCCATGATGCAGTCTCTGCGCTTAGCCATTCGACGCTTGATTTCAGCTACTCGTTCTTCGTGTGCGGAGTGAACATTGTGAGCACCACTTCGCCCTTCACTTGTCTCCGTTCTTCCTCCTTTGAACATTCTCACCCATTTCTGCACATTACGCTTGAAGAACTCCGTCCCGTCCATTTGTTGATTGTGCTCACGATGAATTTGAGCTTCGGATTCTCCTGGTATAGCGCCCCATTTGATAATTTCGCGTTGGTCCTGTTCGGTAATACTTCTTTTCAAATTGTCAATATCTTCNCCGACGCTTATGACTTTCGGGCTCAGTGTAAAACCCACCCATGTTTCATCTATAGCCAACTTTGGTTTCGTGAGTCGTGGGTGACGTCGGTGGCGGAGAAGATTGTTTCTACAGGCATCAATTCGGTTTTGGACCTGTGCTTCTGTAAGTAAATGAGGTACCCATACACACATCTACTTGACCATCTTCAATTCTTTGGACACAACTCGGCCAACGGTAGTAGCAGGAATGCCGGTCTCGCGGGCAAGTTCGGCCATGATGCAGTCTCTGCGCTTAGCCATTCGACGCTTGATTTCAGCTACTCGTTCTTCGTGTGCGGAGTGAACATTGTGAGCACCACTTCGCCCTTCACTTGTCTCCGTTCTTCCTCCTTTGAACATTCTCACCCATTTCTGCACATTACGCTTGAAGAACTCCGTCCCGTCCATTTGTTGATTGTGCTCACGATGAATTTGAGCTTCGGATTCTCCTGGTATAGCGCCCCATTTGATAATTTCGCGTTGGTCCTGTTCGGTAATACTTCTTTTCAAATTGTCAATATCTTCTGCTGCAGCCATGATGTCGAAATCGGGCAGTGTCGTAGCTGACGGTCCTCGCTTCTGATCAAAACACTGTGGATGGTGACAGCCTCCTTCATAATCCCGCCAAGCCTCTGGATGTCTGCGAACTTTTGAATGAGATGACCGTATATACTATACATAGATGTTTTTATCGCTAACATATCACATGTCTGATACTATGTCATCGAGAGAAGGTCGCTTTGGACGACTACCAGTCTTCGTTTATTTTTCATAACGACACAGTCACTGTCGTTTATTCCAGTGAGGAATTTCCTCCCATTACTGAATATATTGTATATAAGGCACGAAAGAATTTATACAGGTCCATCATGGGTTCATTCTGACATGTGCAGTCGGGAGTTGAATCGCCTTTGCAATCGATTCTCCTCAAGGACGTGAATTTCTGGGATATTCGCCAACAATCATTGAACTACACAAGACTAGACCACATTCTTCTAAATTTATCAGCAACATAGTCGCTGTAAGCTCTGTTCTCCGATCAACGGACAACAAAGTAGTGAACCGTTTCACTGCAGGAGATATTTACTAGCTTTCGAAGTGGTATAGACATCGTTTCACAGTTTTTGAATTGCAGAAAGCTCTCACCCTCATGGATCCCAGCATTTGGCTAGAGCGGGGAGAATGACCTCCACAGGCATCACTCATGTACTTTCAGAACTACAGCGGACTTCAAAATTTCGCGCTAGAGACCCGTCAAAAAATCATCGGCCTCGTTTGGTTCAGGTTTTCAAACAGTCGTACAAAGAAACTGCAATTTTTAGTTATTATGCGATTCACCCTCTCAAGCGTCACTTTCTTGGGACAAATTTTGCAGCTTCTTATGATATGTAAATGTCAGTCGATGACCTTTTTGGGTTCCATTTTATCATTTTCTAGACAAAAGTCATCAGCGATTAGTGGAGATGAAAAGAGGTGCCAATCCTCTGGTGAATATAATTTTAATTGTAAAAGTTCCAAAAATGATCTCCGAATGAATTTCTTTTTGTCGAGGAATTCCCTTGCCGAACTAATAGAAGTTGCAACCATGTTCGACTATCATTTAATCTTTGCATAGTATAGATGATAACTTAGGAGGTCTCTCTGTACCCACGGCCAAGATGATACAATGTTTTATTCGGCTAACGTTTCGGCCAGCCGCCTTCGTCAGAGTCTGGAAGCCAAAAAAAATGATTTAAGACTCATCCTGACCAAACACGTTCAGACCTCAGCTTAATTCATGTGGCCCATAGATATCCAGGAAAGTATTGCAAATCGCAATACTTAACCCACCTTAGTTGTCGAAAGAAGACCGTTGACGATTCATTTTTGTATTTTTAGCGCTGATCCAGAAAGCTTCAAGAGTTTTCACGCTGAGGCCGTGGGTTCCCGCATCAAGACCTTGATTGATACCCCAAACACTACATCTTCGTGGTGGTGCCTCCTATGGTCCCCCAAGAACCTTTTAGGCCTTGATTTCTTCAGACCATCCGGATGTTCTATGTCTCTGTATATTAGAGGTCTTCCGGTCTCGCCTATGTATTCGTCTACACAGAGGTTGCATGTGATCAAGTAGATCACACCTGACGTCATGCAGTCACCCCCTCGCCCGTTGGGACAGACAACACAAAAGGGAGGGGGTCGTGCACGAACGATCATAGAGACGGTTTTGTACCAACCTTTGCCTTAGATTTCTAGTGGGGACTACAACCACCCGGACCGTATCATCGAGCCCTCACTCTCGCAAGGAAAGCAAAAAGGCACTTTCTCCGAATTCTCAATACTTGGCTAGTGTGGTTTTCGTTGGGGTTGTCTGCCGTAGTGCTGATCCCTCAGTGGATACTCCAATGGGTACTCCAATGGTTTTTTGGCTCAAAGGCTCTGACGAAGGCGACTGTCGAAACCTTAGCCGAATAAAACGTTGTATCATCTTGACCGTGGCTTCAGAGAGACCTCCTAATAGGAGACGGTTCAAAGTGAATGAGCTATCAAATAATCTATATCAAGAGATTGTGGGGCTAGTGAACCAAGCAACTCTAAAAGAGCATGAGCGGTAGCATTTCCCAATCAAACACATACCGCAAAAAGAAAAGTAATATGTCTCTGTAGGTATTTCATTAAATAGACAAGAGAATTCTTATTTATCAGTATTATTACAGGTTCCACTAAGCACCTTGTTTTTGAGTACGAAAACTGTACCATCTATGATATTGCAGGACCCAATTCACATCGACAGAGAAGAAACTCATGAAATGAAAAAGCTGTCTGAGACGGTGGAGCCCGGATATTTGACAGGAACTGAGGAGCACATTTATTGGAATTCAGTCTGGGCCGCAGACAGGCCGGGATTTTCGAAAGGTTCGTTCAACGTATCCGATAGAAGTAATCTCGGGGAATTTGAGGAAAGAAGCAAAATATCGCCTGAAGCGAGTGGAAGAGGATTCTCAAATAAAGATTCAGAACAAATAGCAGGATCATTGCAAGAAGCAGTTCTCAGTGGACGTGAAACTGATCACCTCGATACTATGATCTTTCCAAAAACATTTCCGGATCAGCAACAAAAAGACGAAATATCAATACCACAATGGCAACCCAGTCTGCCTCTGGAATCGTGGACTACTGGAGAGAATGAAACCTCTATAGAAACACCACAGTCATCGGAATCAATGTTTACAAAAGATCAGCAGATTAACATAGCTTGCGTTCAGAAGTTTGCAGAGCAAACATCTTTCATTGGAGAGCCTACTTCAGAAATGAAGGATGCTGAGGCATTACGGCCAACAGAACCAACGCTGGCTCAAGAAGAACTGGATCACATAGCTTATATTCAGAGGCTTGCAGAAGAAACATCACTCGCCGTCCAACCACTTTCTCGTCCAGCACCTCATTCCGTAGTTGTCGATGAACAGAGAAGGACATCACTTGATGTGGAAGAGGCCGATATTCCACGTTATGCAGCAGAGCTGGAATCTGAAGAGCAATCTGAACCAACCTCGGGAGCAGATCAAGGTGTAGTATCCGAAGCTGGTTCCCCTGCTCTTCTGTACGAAAGAGAGTCACCACTTCCAGAGCGAGAAGAAAAACCTTCT